GGGAGGGAAAAGGAAGGAGGGAGGAACAAAGGAAGGAAGGAAGGAAGAAAAAGGGAGGGGGGAGGGAAGGATGGAAGAAGGAAGGAGGAAGGAAGGAGACAAACTATGGAGAATGATCAGGTAGGTGGCTTTGCCATTATCAGAAAGAAGGAAGACAGAAGGAAAGAAGCTAAATGGGAAAAGCTTGGCATGACTAGAGAAAGAAACTAGGTGTTGGTCTTGGGGTCTTTTAGATTTGAGGTATCGGTATGAAATCCAGAGGCAGACATACCTGTTTGTTTTTTTTGAGACAAAGTCTCTTGTAGTCCAGGCTGGCCTCTAGCTCACTATGTAGCTGAGAACGGCCTTGAACTCCTGATCCTCTTGCCAACAACTTCTAAGTTTTGGGCTCATTTTTGTTTGTTTGTTTGTTTGTTTGTTTGTTTGTTTTGAGACAAGGTCTCAAAGTAGTAAGCATGTCTAGCAGGCAGTGGGGACGATTTCTGAAGCAGTAGCCCTGAAGCTTGTCTTCAAGTGAGTTGAGCAGGCAGGGTGATATATAACATTTTGTTGGTATGGTGCTGAAGAGAAGCAGAAAGTCTCATCTGATCCAAATAGTTTTCCTCACAGATCAGAGTTGCATCTCTAAGAATTCTCAGTCTAAATGTGAACACACTATTTTCATTTCATCAATAAACATTACTTATGCACATACTATATATACCAGACATAATGGACAGTGATGAACAAAACAGAAGAAAAATCTTGGGCTGGGGACATAGTGCATTGACAGACCGTTTACCTAGAATGTATAAAGCTCTGGAGTCAATCCCCAGCACCACAAGAGATTCCTTCCTTTGGGAGAGCTTCCACTATGATATGAAAAGATAGGTGGAAAGTGAATATTCAGAATAAATGGGTTTTAGATGGTGTATTAGGTGTGACATCCCTAACAATAGCACCTTAAGGGAAGAAGGATTCGGCAGATGCTTTAAGAGGGGATACAATGTATGATGGTGGGAAAGCATCGCAACAAGAGTGTGAAGGGCCAGTCACATTGCATGGCAGTCAGGAAGCAGAGATGAAGGCTGGTGCACAGATTACACTCTCCTTGTCTTCTATTTAGTGCAGGACTCCAGCCCATGGGATTGTGCCACCCACATCCAGGGTTGGTCTTCCTTCCTCAACTAAACATCTCTGGAAATATTTTCACCCAGATACATCCAGAACTGTCTCCTAGGTGATTCTAAACTATGTCAAGTTGACAGTGGAGATGAACAATTCCAGATGGTGATGATTATATAAAAGAAAATAAAGCAGAGACAGAGAATAGAGAGAGCTGTAATTTTAAGTAGGGTACTCAGAGAAGGGACCACTGAGGACAGGACATTGAAGAGCTAGCAGGTGAGGAATTGAACCATGTGGATAACTGGGAGAAGAGGAATATCATGTACAAAGTCCTGGAGGCAGAAATGTATTGAAGTGCCAGAGGAGGAAAGGGGC